ATTTCAGCGAACAGTTTCGATTCAAAATTCTTCCCTTGATCGGTATGTACTTCTAAAGATACTCCATGTCTTGAAATAAACTCATAAATGAAGATTTCTGCCACTGTCTTTGCTCTAATATTCTTCAGGGGAAAAGCTTCTACCCATTTGGTGAAGCAATCTACGATGACAATTAAATATCTGTTTCCAGAAAAAGTTATTGGAAGTGGACCTAGGATATCCATTTGAATTCTTTCAAAAGGACTTCCGACATTATAGATCTGCATAGGAGATTTTCCTTTTCCTGTGGGGCCTTTCTTAGAAATACAGACCTTGCAAGATCTGCACCAATTTTCAATGTCTTGCTTGTAAGTCGCCCAATAAAAGCGTTTTCGTACCTTTTCTAAGGTTTTGTTTACACCAAAATGACCTCCGAACGGAGAATCATGTACTTCCTCAAGGACTTGTTTAACTCGCTTTCGAGGAACAATCAATTGAAGAAAACTAGACTTCAAATTCGGAGCTTCCCACTTCTTGTAAAGGACTCCATTCTGAAGAATTAATGCATCCCAATAAGTCCAATAAATTTGAGCAGAAATGTCACGAGTCACGAATTCAGAACGAGATGGTCGTGTTTCTTTCATTTTTCCCCGAATAAAAACGGCAATGTCAGGATCTTCTTCTTGATCTTTACGCCATTCTCCCAGATCTTCTGTTTGGAATATAAGTCGTGCAACCATTTTCTCGTTTTCAGACGTACTCTTTATCTCGACCTTGGCACAATATCCACACCCATAGGTCTCACATAGTCGTCTGGACAATCCATCGGCATTCTTGTGAGATTCTCCTTTCCGGTGTTGTACTTCGAAGTCGTATTCTTGGAGTTTTTCCAACCAACGAGCTAGTTGCCCTTCCAAATCTTTAAAAGACATAAGCCATTTTAAGGAAACATGATCAGTACGAATCAAAAATCTTCGACCCAAAAGATAATGTCGAAAACATTTAATAGCACTGATAATTGCTAATAATTCTCGACGAGTAACACAATAATTCCGCTCAGTTTTGCTAAGAACTCGACTAAAATACGCGATAACCATTTCCTTCCCATCCTGTATTTGTGATAACACTGCACCAATTCCGAAGTTTGAAGCGTCAGTATCCAAAATAAATTGACTTTCTTCTTTAGGAAAAGACAACACTGGGGGAGAAGATAACATTAATTTCAAGTTTTGAAAAGCACTATCACATTCGTCGTTCCAAAAAATTTAATTTGATTTCCTGTTAGAGCAAAAAGAGGTTTAGCTATTGAAGAAAACCCTCTAACAAACTTCCTATAATACGAGCAAAATCCTAAGAAACTACGCAATTGTTTTTTAGTATGTGGTACTGGCCAATCTTTAATAGCAGTTATTTTTTCTGGGTCGGTGGTAATGTCCTGTTCGGAAATTACATGTCCAAGATATTTTACGTTTCTTTGGAAAAGCAAACATTTCTTTGGATTAATTTTAAGATTTGCTCTCCGTAGTCGCAAGAATACTTCTTTAAGGTTTTGAAACATTTCAACAGAATCTTTTCCAAAAATGATGATATCGTCTAAATAAACTAGACACTTTTTCGAAATCAATCCGTTTAAAACCTTTTCCATAAGTCTCTGAAACGTCGCGGGAGCGTTACACAAACCGAAGGGCATGATCGTAAATTGCCAAAGTCCCTTACCGATAGAAAAAGCTGTCTTTTCTTTGTCTGAAGGACGAATCTTTATCTGCCAGTAACCACTTTTTAAATCAAGCGTAGAAAACCAAGTGTTACCTGATAGCTGATCCAAAATGTCGTCAATTCGAGGGAAGGGATAGGAATCTTTTACCGTGATAGTGTTAAGTTTCCGGTAATCAACACAGAATCTCAGTGTTCCGTCTTTCTTTTTGACCATAACAGCCGGCGAAACCCAAGGACTTTGAGATTCTTCTATGATTCCTTCTATTTTCATCTCTTCCATTATTTTATCAACCTCATCCCTCATCTGAAAAGGAATCCTACGGGGTACCTGTTTTATGGGGAGAGAGTCTTTTACATTTATGACATGTTCAATAATATTGCAATTCCCAGCAACAATATTACAGGAGAATAGATCTTGAAATTCATTTAGAAAATTTACAAAGGTTTCTTTCTGTTTTTTCTGCAAATGAATCGAGCTTTTTTCGAAAAGTTCTTTTAAAATAGACGGGATTCCTTTTGGAAAATTCTCTATTCTTGAACATTGAAAATCTTTATCGTCAAAAATGGATTTATTAAAAACTTTATCAAAAACGTTTTCCAAATTAATCATTTTAAGAAAATCCATTCCCAAAATACATTGATCATTAATTTCAGCAACTAATAACGGAATTTCAACCGAATAATTTCCGATTTCAATTTTTGTTTTTACTAAAAATTCAATTAAAAATTTTTCTCCCGTCGGATATTTTAAATTAATATCATTGACTCGAATCTTTTCAAGATCTTCTCCCACTAATCTGCTATTTAATATGGAAACATCAGAGCCTGTATCTATTTTAAAAAGACACTCCTTTTTATTTAATCTACCAAAATACGAATAAGAATCTTTCTTAGATATCCTTCTAACACTACAATCACTGAGATCAACAAAATCGGACGTCGGGGCGTTTTCTGTAAGAGTTGAATTTTCCCCGAAAAATTCAACTACCTCTAGTTTTCCTTCGCCTCAGAACATTGAAAACGCAAATGTCCGATCTTCCCGCAAGACCAACATTCTTTCCCTTTGGCCGAAAAGTTGTTCGCTTGCGCTTTCCCTTTCGAGTGAACCGTTCGCTTTTCTTTTTTCGGAATCGGTTCGCGCGTCGCTCCTCTCTCCCTTTTGATGATTTTGACTTATTTTGCCGTAATTTCCTTTGTTACTAAAATTGTCTCTTTTTCTATCAAAACTATCCCCCTGAATTATTTTTATGGCCTTAGCTCTTTCTATAGCCAAATTTAAAGATGTAATTCCCTCCAGTTGAAGGGTTCTTTTGACAAACCCGTCTATTAATGCCGAGACAAATTGCGCGCATGCTATTTTATCGCGGACCGCATATGGACATTCGGGGTAAGCCAGACGCGACAGTCTCTCAAGTTCGGCTCCAAAGGAAGCGAAATCCTCTCCATATTTTGTTCCGTGTCGTAAAAAGATAGTAATAATTTTGCGTCAAGTTTCCGTCTTCAAAAAGCAACTCTAATTTTGATTTTAATTCCGCGAATGTTAATTCTTCAAAATTCTCGACATTTTCTAAAACGGACCGAGCTTTTCCCCTTAAATTTGCAGCGAGAGTAATCATTTTGCTTTCTCATCCCAATTATTCGCAACGGCTATCAAAAGAAATTGGGAGAGGAACTCCCGCAGCGGAACCCTTCCATCGAATGTATCGGGCTTCAGTTTTTAAGCCCGTTTTCGCACGAAAGTCACCGGTCGTCTCGCCCGCGTTTATCACGGCACTCGCGGCTATCGCGGCACTCGCGGTACTCGCGCAAGCTAAATTCAGTCGTGTATCCCCAGAAGCTCTTATATTAGAAGGACTTAGCTGGTTAGTTTGCTGCGAGGAGATCCTCAATTCGAGCTGGTGCAGCTGTTCGTCCTTCTCTCGGAGAAGAGCCTCAAAGCGAGCTTGCTGATGTTCTCGTTCGGCCCGCATTTCTCGTAGTTCTCGCAGTGCGGTCTGCAACGCATCCGTCTCGTCTATCTCCTTCATCGTTGTTCGGGAACGCGTCGCTTTCGGCGAATGTTGAGTCGTCATTTTGGCGTTCTCTCAGGAAGATGCGATTCTTTCGGTTTTGATCCCGGACGAGCCCCCAAAAGTTGCGTCCTTGGGGACGCCTCTCGCTCAGTCACTCTCACACACAGTCACTCTCACTCGCGCGCGAAATAAAGACACTCGGTAATAGGGAAATGAACTTTAATATGAGGAACCAATACACGAAACCAATGAAATATAACAAATAGTGCATTCGTAATGCAAGAAGCTCGGTCTCGGAAAACGTCCGCACGATACGACCGCTAGACCAAATCTGTCATGTCTCCCGAAAACAGAAGAAGACCCTTAGTTGTTTAACAAAAAACTCCCTTGACGACGTTCTCCCGGAAGCGTAAAGAGTTGATCCCGCGAAAAGTATCACCCGATACAAAGATGTAGATCCAGGGGCGTAACACGGGGGCGCAACAATATATTTGTATTAAATAATTTAGAGACTAATAATTTATTTTTTATATATATCTATTTATCTAAATATAGTTATAAAAATATATAAAACTTTACATGTATATAATTCCAGTTTA